GTGGTTTTCGTTCCGATGTTTGTGTAATGAAAGGTGACATAAGAACAAACTCATCTTCCTCTTCAATCTTCCTCTACAACTCAAGAAGCACAAATAAAGTTTCAAGTACTAATGAAGGCAGAAAAGTTGAAGAGGATCGGGTACTCCAACATGAAAAGATTAGGCCCTATACTAGAAAATGGGAAACAAGTGTTATGGACACCATTGATGAATTAAACCTCGTCTCAAAAAGGGTGAATTTGGATAGTAATCATGGCTGTGATGTTCAACATGATGTTCCAGCAGTGTTCTTCTCCAATGGGGGCTATACCGGCAACGTTTATCACGAATTCAACGATGGAATCATACCTTTATACATAACTTCCCAGCATTTCAACAAGAAGGTTGTGTTTGTGATCCTTCAATATCACAATTGGTGGATTACGAAGTACGTAGACGTCCTTTCTCACCTATCTGATTTTCCAATGATTGATTTTAGTAGAGACAACAGGACTCATTGCTTTCCAGAAGCCATTGTTGGTCTTAGAATCCATAATGAGTTAGCGGTGGATCCTGCATTGATGAATGATAACAAGCGCATAGTCGATTTCAGAAACATTTTGGATAAAGCCTATTGGCCTCGGATTCATGACTTGATTGAAGACGAAGAAAGGGAAGCAGAAGAGAAATTGAGAGAACAAATTGCTTCAACTCCATCATTACAAGCCTCACAACAACAGCACATTAAAGCACAAGTGCAAGAAAATCTATCTAAGAAGCCTAAATTGGTTATTCTCTCAAGAAGTGGATCAAGGTCTATAACTAACGAGAATTCTCTGGTGAAGATGGCTGAGGAATTGGGTTTTCAAGTTGAGGTTTTAAGTCCTGGCAGAACAACCGAATTGGCGAAGATTTATCGGGTACTAAATACAAGTGATGTCATGATTGGAGTCCATGGAGCTGCTATGACACATTTTATGTTCTTGAAACCGGGTTCTATGTTCATTCAAGTTGTTCCTCTCGGTACTACATGGGCTGCAGAAACTTATTATGGTGAGCCTGCAAGGAAGCTCGGTTTGAAATACATCGGTTATGAAATTCAACCCAAAGAGAGCTCTTTGTATGAGGTATATGATAAAAATGATCCTATCCTAACAGACCCTGCAAGCATTAACAAGAAGGGGTGGGAATACACAAAGAAGATCTATCTTGATGGCCAAAATGTTAAATTAGACCTCAGAAGATTCAGAAAAAGGTTGCGCCGTGCTTACGAGTACAAAGTCTCTAAATCAAACCTGAATCTTCAGCACAAGCCACAGTAAACTTCAATTGTTAAATTTTGTTCTATATGTTTATTCTTTAATGTGAATTTTTCCACATACCTATACATACAAAAATAGCCTGAGTAGTGCAATATGTTATGTAGTGTGTACAGCAAACATTTTTAAATGAATACTAGGATGTGCATGTGAATTATAGTTTTGTATCTTAACATAATCTTTGGGAATTCACCAATCATTATAGAATTTTTCTTGTGGAAGACTATGCATGTTCCTTTGGGACCAAACTATGCTGTTAACACTTGGAATCAACTTTATGTATCATAGATTCACCACTCCATAGATAATATGCAAATATATATTGAAGTTGGCCAATATATATTGTTATATTTAGATATGCCAATCTGGCCAATATATATTGAAATTTATTAATTTATTTTTAGCAATAACAAAAATAAAATGAAGGGCATATATGAATCTGGAAAAAGCACATTACAGTAGTGTAAAGCTACTCCCAACTTGATATATAGTTACAAGCTTACCTGTCATTTACCTTTGAATGTGTCATACCAAAAATGAAAATGAAAAGACTATGTTATAGTACTAGCTTTTCTGCATGTATAGAATAATGTCAGAAAATCAATGAATTTAAACAGTGTTCTTAAAACTATTTCAAATTAAATTGGGTAGATTATGGAAATTTAATTAATCCAATGATGTACCCAAAATTAATTTAAATCAAAGATTTTATTATATTTGTAGTGCTAACGTAACGTTATACTCAAGGGTTGTGTTGTGCATGTGAAGCACAAAGATTCTTGACTCTGCATGTGATGTGTTAGACAGAATCAATTGGGACCACTATGAAGGTATGGTGCATGTAAGTGCACTGTGCACTACATGTATTGTCTTGACACAATCTTTATTATATTATCATAAAGTTTCTATGAAATTGAGACTATGATTAATATTGAAACATTACCAGGCTTTCCTAGTTGGATAATTAGTTTTGACTAAAAACAACTATCAAATGAATTTTAGATATTGTATAAGACCAATGTTCAATTCTTTGTGACCAATAGTTATTTGAGAAGGTACCTTGAAATGAATTAGTCCCTTCGGTATATACTTGGTTTTAGTGTATTGTCATGAAACATAAATATCACATGCTACAACTTTTGTGTTTGTTTTTGTGAAAGAGACAACCCAACAAAAACACAAAATTACAAGACAATACATAACCAAACATCATACAATGGTAGTTTTAGCCTTTAATATGTATGTTATTATTTATAGCTAAGCCTGAAGTGACCAACCTATATTCTACAAGAAATTCTTGTCCTTGCTTGGTAAACAACTAAACAAGAAGTTAATAAGATAAAAGTGAAAAATTATACCAACAAGCTGTATTCCAACTTGATAATGCATAAAATTGAATATTTTTTGTGTGCTTTTATGATCCTAATGTCATAATTACAAAATTTCCTCCTCAGGCACAGCACCCTCCTTCAAATATAATATCTACATGTACTTCTGACCACCTACCTTTGCAGAAAAGAATGCCATGTTTCTTGATCCGAAAGCAAAAACTCCCATTAAAATGGAGCTTGTCCCTAAACTACACTTAGCCTTGTTGGTGTGCTTGGAGTGAAAGCACCACTCGCTACGACCCTGGCTCGAGTCTACTATGCCCGCCGTTTTGAAGTTTTGGTAGCTGAATGGACAGGAGGAGGTGTCCTAGCATTTCTGTCCCTGTCATCTACAAAAATAAGAACCTCTTTAGTATTAGTGAATAATATATCATGAATATCCTTCATAACCATAACCATATAACTGAGAGATGAAGTGCATGGAAGTTCTACAAGTTTAACTTACTTGACAGTACTGGCTTCCCTCCTATAGAAGATCTGCGAGAGTTTTGTCCAGACGCTTGAATACCCGTTAGAGATTGCCGCCTTTTTGTTGTCTCAATAGCTGTTACTGGTGTTTTTACATCATTATGGCTAGTACCCTTGATAGGTGACTTCACTTCAATCACATTTTGTTGGCTCCTGCAAAATTTCACGCCGAGATTCAAAACACACACTAGTATTACCATCAAAGTGAAGCTTAAAACACTTAGCTTGCTACACTCACCTCTTGTCAGTTCCATTAATCAATTTTCCGATAGTTCTTAAGGATCTTCTTATATTTGATCCTTTTCCATTTGTGCTACCAATCACCTTTGTTGTTTGGGAATCATTGCAAAATGCTGGAAGGTCACTAGGCACAGATTTATCTGCATCATTTCTATCTATCACTCGTGGTTCCGGTGTCTGAGGTAGTTTAAGAGGATGAATTTGGATTCCACTATCTATTTTTATTAGTCTCTTCTGATAGGTAATGCCTGTGGGACTCCGAGGAGCTTTGGCATGCAACTCTGACCTGGAATTGCCGTTGCTGAAATTGCCATATGACTTTGACACTGAGTCTGGGTCTTGCAGTGAAGGATGTCTCTGCAGAGACACAGGCTCATAATGCAAAGTTTTGCTAACATCAGCTGTTAGTTTTGGTTGCACAGTGTCTTTCTTGATGCTTTTTGCATCTTCCAAGCTTAATCTTCTTGAACGGGGTATGAAAGGTGACTTAGTTCCACTTTTATCCTCATGATTTACAGATTTATCGATCTTTACGGCACTGCAATTCTCAATGCTAAGTCTTCGATGGCGAACTGGAGTTTTCTCAGACATCAGCGGTGGCTTCTCCAATGGAGAGCAAGGTTCTTTAGTTCTATTGAACAACGCTTTCTGAGCTTCCTTATTTGCCAATGCAATCTTAAGGTTCTCCACCTAACATCACATAAACAATGTACTAACCTGTTTAGGACTTATTTTAAGTTTGACACTGAGTCTGGGTCTTGCAGTAAAAGTCAGCGCATGCGAAGTAACCAAATGGAGTGGCTTAAAGTATACATTCTTACCTGTTCCTTGAGCTGCATAACCTCGCTGCTTTCTTTGTTCAAACGGGCTGTCCCGAGTTCGACACTGGAAACCCGTTGAGCAAACTTTAGAGTACTCACTGTTTCACCATAGGAATCTGCTTCTGGACTCACATGAGCAAACATCAACGTTTTAGCATGTCCACCTAATGAAGAAATTTCCAAGAGAAAAGAATTAACATATTGACATATGGTAAGAAATCGAAGATATATCTCCAAAGCTTTTCAATGGCATAATCCCATTCAATAGAAATGTCAGAACCGGAGATGAGAGGAAAAGCTAGAAGTTTGAAATAAAAATGACAGGATACTGGTGCATAGTGTACCTAAGGAGTTCTGCAAGAGAAGTGTGAGTTTGCTATTTCTGTAAGGGATATGAGAATTCTTTTGAGCCAGGGCTGTGATCACATCCCCCAAACAAGAAAGAGACTTGTTTATAAATTGTGCTTCCTTTAATCTATCCCCTACAACTTCGGACTTGTCTACTCGTTCACTCCCAGCAAGGTCTACCAAGTGCAGGCAACTGCGGATGGTGCTCCCAGATGTATCTTTGCCATGAACATGAACGGTAAGAACACTGAGACACGTTAAGCAGCTTTATCAGTATTAAACTACTTTATGCTTGCTGTAGTGAAATCACTATTATACAAGGGAATGCAGTTACTATAACTCCAGATACAACAATCACCTGTGGGAACGACTACTCCTATTGTTCATTGCAGTGGAACTGACAGCACGGTTAACCTCACCAAGTTTCATAAGGGACAGAACATCAGTTGTAGATTTCACCAATCTCAATGTGGCATCAGGAAGGCTGAAGCCATCGTCATTGCAGCTTCGGATCTCTAATGTGCGCTTAGTTAAAGGAAACAAATAACTTGCATATAATATAGTAAGATCAAAATACTAGAAATAAAGAACCTTTTTCTGCTTGTCTCTTAAGAAATTTGTAAAAATGTTTCAAGCCCCTATGGAATAATGAATACGAAAAGGATATTTGTTGTCTGATTTGTCCTCAACAAGTAGGTCTCTTACTTGTTCATTGTAAATCTCAACCATTTGCACATAAATGTCATACTTTATAATGTCCTTCCTTTGATTAGACATTTGAAATAAATCATTAAGGGACAGATAATTGATCCCCATATCCTTGGATGTTCCATTTGAAGGACCACTCTGCCACAAGAAAGAAATATTAGATCGAAAAAACCTTTATTTCAGTTGGCAAATATAGTGCAAGTTCTCGCGTTCGTCAGTTCTTGCATAACCATCGATGCACAATTGAAACAGGATGATACAAGTATCTTACCATGGTATGAGTCTTTCCGGATCCAGTTTGACCATAAGCAAAAATACAAACGTTGTAACCATCCATCACAGATCTAATTAAAGGTTGAGTGTCCTTAAAAACCTCATCTGAGTACACAGTAGAAAATGTCAAGAAAGAAAAGGCGGGGGATAAATTGGCACACAAGAGTATTTCTATTAGTGGCTTTGAAGGAACTCTACCTTGGCTAGCTGTTGGACCAAAAACTCGATTAAACTTAAAATGTTTCATTCCATCTTTTAGTGTTTTTGATGGATCTAAAATGAAGAGAGAACCATTTTCCCCAACGAAATCAACAATGTTCTTGGTGTCAGCCCGGAACGAGGGTCTGATTCTGCAGTAAACTCGAATATTACCTGTGTTTTGAATTTGAAATGGTTGCTAAAATTAACTTAGAGAACAAGAATATAAACAAAGAAAGTAAACCCTTTCAATATAAACAGAATTAAAACTAAAAGTAAATCACCTTTTAAATCTTGGACCATGTTATATAATTTCCTATTCTCTTCTACGACTTTGTGATATCCCAGAGCATTGGCTGACATCTCCTGTACTTGACTTCCTGTAGTCAAGAAACAACAAACCACAAGACCATCAACATAAATTTCAGACGAATATGTGATTACATAAACATATAAACACGAAAATTCATTTTGTTCTAAACACAAGATCTCTCGAAGTTTATCTTTATCTTCATATTTTCACTTCTGTATCCTAGAGAACCACCTCTCAAGCTCAAAATCACGTGTAGTCAAACAATATAAACTTGATGTAAAGGGTGACAAACTTGTATAGTTGATGGCTATTCATACCAAGGTCATTAAAAAATCTCTGAAACTGTGTCTGCATCTCTTCAAACTCACTCTTAATTTTCGACTTCAAAGCTTTGAGATCCTGAAAAACACAAGAAATTACAGGAATTATCACAATGAATGCATTAGACATCTTTTGTAGGCTGTGTCATGCTTTTAACAATAACATGCAATATACTTTCTTTTAGCATCTACTAGGAACAGAATATCAGAAATAAAAATATTTCTGCTACCTCTTGTACTAGAAAGAAAGAAAAATCAATCCATATTTCTTTGGTCATCAGGGCAACAAGTTTGTTCCATTATGCTACATGTGAAGAACTCCAGAAAAATAAAATGATACTTGAACATTACCAAATTTAAGTTTTGGACATATAAAAGTACTCCATAACCTACTTTTCCGATGTCTGTTAAGTTGTTGTTTCCCTCCTCGATTGGACTAGTTATTACTTTTAATTAAATCAGATTTAATGCACTGACTGAAGGTAATTTGAACAAACTGCACGAATGCCTACCAGAAGTTCTTTTTTCTGCATTTCTAAGAGTTGCTGCTGATTGCAAGTGCACTTTCCGATGCAAGCTCTGCGACACTGCATAAGATGCATATAAGTGATATCAGAAATGCAAATTGAAGATAAAATATATCGATCTATAAATTATAAGTAATATTACATTAAAAATAAAGGTACCTTGAAACATTCAGGTGCAGAAGGTTTGGTTGAGGAGGTGGAATGAGGAGGTGAGCTACTCCTTTCTTTTGTAGTATCCTTTAGCACTAATGACAACTGTGTTTGGTCGAAAAGAGTTTTTGTAAACATCAGAGCGAAGGCTTTAACAAAGAATGAAGATATTGACATAAATACATGAAATCATCATTTTCAAAATATTTAAACAGTTTTATCATGATAGAACAAGCAAGTCATCCAAGAAATAAGCATGAGGAAATAAGAAAATAAATCTATGCATAAAAGCGCATTTCAGTTATCTTTCACATGTTTAACAATAAATATGCTCAAATTTGGCTAGATTGCTAACCATGATTTTTAGATCAATAAACTGTTGCCCTTCACATTAGTGTCATGTTGCCTATAACTATTTGGCAGCAACATGTGGCAAGTTTTTTGAGGCAAAATCAAAAGTTAAAAACCAATGATGCCTTTTTCAATTACTTGAAATTATAGCTGATCCTAAGTCTGAATAAAAAGTGAAGGTTGTGTGTTAGGCCATCGACAAACAACGTAAAACTTTGTTGAATCTATGATGGATCAAATGGAGGTTGATCCAATTTCTAGAGGCAAAGGGAGACCAAGAAAAACCATACGTGGAACAACTAGAAAAACTTTAGATATCAATGTTGTCAATGAAGATGGTTTGCGATAGAAAATAATAGCGTCGTCCGATCCATGTAGTCGACTCCCACCTAGTGGCTATAAAGCTTGATTGTTGTATTCTCACATTATTCACAGCATAAAGGCTAGAATAAGATAACAATAGGACTCATTAATTATCAGTGTAAAAAGCGTTGATCATCTCAAACTAACCCCTGCGAACTTCTTTGGTAGCTTTTCCCCACCACAACTTGTCACGATCTGATTAAATAACTTTATTGGATCCTGCAGTAAAGAATAAATAATTAGGCATGACATAAATTACTAGTGTCAAACCAATATATTTCAATAAGTTAAACTTTAATTAATTAAGAAATACCAGGTGTTCGTTACGAAGATTAGCAAGAATGTTTCCATCAATATTTTCTTTGGAATCGAGCATACGGTCTACGAGTAGCTTGACAAGTGATTCCATACTTTCTGCTACGTCTAATAAAAGTAGTAGAACGAACAAAATCATCCAATTACATTTGAGAATATGTGGACAGTTTATCAAAGTATGAATGCATAACATAAAAACAACTATCTGATTACTTAAGTGAAAATTTAAGTAAACGTTTAGATGCATTATACTGTGAAAGACCATATTTAGGTCGGGCTCATTCCAAACAAATTTCTCAAAATGTGCAAGTTGCCAAGTATCAAACTATGGCAATTAAGATTAGCATCAGTTAACAAATGCAAATCAGATAAACATAAATGCACATGATTGCAAACCTTCTTGTTGCTGAGAATTACTCTCAACAGGCAGCGTTTTTTCCAATGTGACAGACAAATCCAAGCGCCTGCATGCTTCGGAGGGATATGCAGCTGTGGATTTTGAATGCATTCTACTGGCAGACTGCATACGTAATGGAGACTTTATCCGTTTGTTGGGTCCATTCCCATTGTTTATCTGCTTCAACTCTTGAAATGATTGAAGGGATAGAATGCAATCGACAACTTTTGATGCGGACCCCATGTCTACACTATCCTGAAAATAAATAACCAATGCACTAGTTCACACATACTCACAAGCTTCAAAGCAACAAGGCAATACAAATTAACTTATACAAGTGACACTTTTAGATTAAAATATTTAAGGATACCGGAAAAGAAGCACAGTGGCATTTGAACACTCATATTTAACAAAATTTAAAAGCTTTAAATAACTTACCCTTTCAAGATCAGAAGCTTCGAAAGCTGGAATCTTTAATTCTTGCACTGCAACCAGAAAGTTCCGGACATTTTCAAAATACTGGTAGGCAGGCAAAGGCTGGGAATCCCAGGTAAGCGATTGTGAAGCTACTGGATTATCAACCACCTTCAATAATAACATCAAAAAGTGCAATAAGCCAAACATTTTTAGTAAGAAAAGAGAGAAGAAGAAAAATACTAATGCAAAACTCAAAGTTTCCAATTTGAGCTTGTTGCCTGCATTTTAAGAAACCTCTTCGCTGAGTATAATAAGTAATTGGTTACATATACTAATATTTAGTAAATCATTCACTAGTTCACCGAAGCAACAATATATTACATTGGGGTAAAGAACACATGAATGCATGAAATAGGACTGTATTTTTGCAATACCTTACTTTAAGTATTGCTACATGTTTACCTATATTAGTAATTCATAAATCATTCAGCCGTATTTTAAATTGCAGTTGTGATTTCGGTCATGGTTGTGGTGATCATTGAGGCCATCACGGTTATTTTTTTAAAAATATATTTTTGAACTCGATGCGATCCCATGCAGTCTGATGCGGTTGCATTGCGGCCCGATTAGATTGTGATTCGGTGTCGCACTGCATTTGTGGTGTGATGCAGGTGCAGCAGTAACCCCGCAACTGTAATATTGTGGCCACATAAGATGTGGTCCATAGTGTCATCCACTAATGCAACTAAATAGTAGAAGATTAGATTGGTGATAAGAGAACATGAATGTGATAATAGGATTATATTATTGCAATACCTTAGGCATTTGTTACATACATTAGTAATTAATAAGCAAATCATTCACTGATGCAAGTTAACATGAATATGATATAATCATATAATATTGTAATACCTTAGGCACTGCTCCTGGATGAATCTTGTTAATGACATTGCAAAGAATCAAACCATTTCTTAAGCAAGAAATCAGTTCTCTCTCTGTGGGTTGGTTTGGTATGCCAAGAGGACCCACTTGGCTTTCTAGCCACTTAGTTGCTTCATAACGTCTCCAAGCTACACATCACATCACCATGCAACACTCAGAAATTCTCTTACACATAATAATTAAACTATAAATATCAATGATAAAAACAAAACAAAAAAATCATTTTTTTCATCATGCCCAGTTAATAAAAGCATAACAAGAATGCAACTTGGCACACAAAACAAACAAAAACATTATAAATTTATAATAAAAAGAAAAAACTGAATCAGAAAATAGAAACTAACCTGCTTCTTCTGCTTTTCTAGAAGCCATGTTGAAATCATGAATCCCATTTCTTGAAAAAGTAACCATGATGTCTATCTTTTCTCAAAAAAATATCACAAAATTTGCTTCCTGTAAAAGGTGTCATCAAAAAATGAGAGTGAAA